TTCCATACACACAAATGCATTGGGAACACTACACATTCTATTCCAAATCCAAATATGAAGAAAAATATATAAAATTTGTGTTGTTCCTCTAAAAAATTTAAGAAAAGTGAATATTAGACTGTTCAAAAAAATAGCAGTGTTTGTATTCTTCTTTACAAACTCAAACATTCACTATATAAACTGAAAAATGTTTGAAGATTTTGTTTTCCTTTGAATCACTTAATGAACATTTAGTTGTATAAGCACTGTTTCTGAGAACTGCTGTACATCTGTGTTGCATGGAGTCACCCAACTTCTGGCCCCTGTGAACAGGTATTCCTGCCCAGGATGATTGGACGACATTCCACAGTTCTTCTCTATTTCTTGGTTTTGCCTCAGAAACTGCATTTTTGATGTCACCCCACAAGTTTTCTATTGGATTAAGATCCGGGGATTGAGCTGGCCACTCCATAACGTCAATCTTGTTGGTCTGGAACCAAGATGTTGCACGTTTACTGGTGTGTTTGGGGTCGTTGTCTTGTTGGAACACCCATTTCAAGGGCATTTCCTCTTCAGCATAAGGCAGCATGACCTCTTCAAGTATTCTGATGTATTCAAACTTATCCATGATCCCTGATATGCGATAAATAGGCCCAACACCGTAGTATGAGAAACATCCCCATATCATGATGCTTGCGCAACCATGCTTCACTGTCTTCACAGTGTACTGTGGCTTGAATTCAGTGTTTGGGGGTCGTCTGACAAACTGTCTCCGGCCACTAGACCCAAAAAGAACAATCTTACTTTCATCAGTCCACAAAATGTTGCGCCATTGCTCTTTAGGCCAGTCAATGTGCTCTTTGGCAAATTGTAACCTCTTCAGCACATGTCATTTTTTCAACAGTGGGACTTTACGGGGGCTTCTTGCAGATAGCTTGGCTTCACATAGGCGTCTTCTAATTGTAACAGTACTCACAGGTAACTTTACACCTTCTTTGATCTTCCTGGAGCTGATTGTTGGCTGAGTCCTTGCCATTTTGGCTATTCTTCTATCCATTCGAATGGTAGTTTTTCGCTTTCTTCCACGTCTTTAAGGTTTTGGTTGCCATTTTAAAGCATTTGCGATCATTTTAGCTGAGCAGCCTATCATTTTCTGCACTTCTTTATATGTTTTCCCCTCTCCAATCAACTTTTTAATCAAGGTACGCTGTTCTTCTGAACAATGTCTGGAACGACCCATTTTCCTCAGAATTTCAGAGAGAAATGCACTGTAACCAGCATGTACAACATTTGCTGCCTTCCTTCCTTAAATAAGGGCAATAATTGCCACCTGTTTTTCAAAGAATGAATGACCTCACTAATAGAACTCCACACTGCTATTATTTTGAACATGCCCCTTTCAATTAGTGATTCAATTACACAGAATCAGCAGCATGCATGTCATGACTGTTGGGTCTGTTGGATTTCTATTACTCTACTATACCTGCTAGTAAATTATTTGCCATTTAGAAATAACATTTCTACCAAAAACAGTGATTGATCAGGTTAGTGATGTCTGACTGCTATTATTTTGAACACAACTGTACATGAACTAATTTCCTGCCAAGAAATTTGTAAATGTGTTCATTATGGTCCATTTATTTATTTTGTATGGTAAAAATGCCCTTATTGTGTAAATATACTCCTACTTTATAGTGATAGTCTGAAGACCTAGCTTCTCGCAGACAGTGGAATCTTTGTGGGTGGCTCAGATGCTCTCGTGGTCTCAACTGCAAAACATACTGACATCTCCGTTCATACACAGTCAGGTGTAGATGTGGTTTTGGCAGAAGATGATTCTAACAAACATTTCACATATATTTTTTAAAAGAGAAAAACATCAATGTTGGTTTTGTTTGTAATTTAGCTGCAGGAAGGTAGGAGGATTATCTTATCTGATGTGTTGCTAAAAATGTTAAATGCAGTAGTTATAAATAAATAGCTGAGCGTGGAACTTTTTTTTTAGTCTTTAGGTATTTTGAGATCAGCTTATAACTTGCATTAACTTTAATAGAAGGATGAATTTCCACTGATGAACCACGTAGGGTATACAGTCTTTGGCATGCAACGCTCCACTCTGCTAATAGGGCAGTAACTATGCTATAGGGCCCAATAGAAAAATGATTCAGAGGCCCCTTATCTCTCTAATCTCTATCTCACAAGCAATTCCTCTAGTGGTATACAACACAAATTGTTCCATAGCTGTTATATAGAGGTTCCAAAATTATATATACACATTTACCAATTGCCATTTCAACATTCAAATATCATTTGCATAGCCAAACAGTTCTGGGCCCCCTGTGCTTCTGGCCCCTATAGCAGTTCCATGGTCTGCTATGGCTATACTACACACTTGAGTCCTAAACTGTCTTAAAAATATTGACGTCCTGTAAAGCTTACATTAGATGTATTTCAGCTGATGATGTGAAAATAATGATGACCAATAAATATACAGGAAACAGCCTCCTATTTGCCTTTGCTGCTCATGGACATAGGCCTACTCTGTCAAATGAAAATATGGCTTTGCATTTAGAGAACGCCAAGTAAAGTCTAAATCTAGAGTTCTTTTTTTTTTGCTGATTTACTTTTATTGTAGCAATAAAGGGAATTGCTCTATGAAAATGAGTGCTTTCAATTGAGCCCAAAAATTCAGTGTCCCTTATAAATTAAAGTGGTTTTCTATTGTAAGTTATCTTATAAAGGCATTGAATCAAAAACAGGCAGTAACATGGATGCCCCCCATTGACACTCTTCATCTGTATCATCTGTATTTGATCCACCATCTGATATTTATTGAGATTTGCAGACATTGCCTCTGTAGGTAAAAATTGGTATTGCACCCTGTCATTCAAACACAGAGTATTTATCAATTTAAAAACAGCAAAGTGGTCAGGAACCCTGTAGAAATATACAGGATGATATTGTTGACCTCCTTCTAAAAAAAAATCAGATGTCAGAAAAAATCAGATCAAAAAACAGATGTCTCTAGGTTTTGAACTCTGAATCTCCTACCTGTGACATGCATGCAGCAAGTAATGAAAGAATAAATTCCAAACCACTGATGTGCATACTCATTCTAAGTCAGTGGCTCAGAAAATACACTGCTTAAAAAAACTGAAGGAACACTTTGAAAACACATCAGATCTCAATGGGGAAAAATATCATGCTGGATATCTATCCTGATATGGACTGGGTAATGTGTTAGGAGTTAAGGATGCTCCATCGTTTGATGGAAATGAAAATGATCAACCTGCAGAGGACTGAATTCAAAGACACCCCGAAAATCAAAGTGAAAAAATTATGCAGCAGGCTAGTCCATTTTGCTGAAATTTTATATTTCTTCATCCTCTAGGAACTACCTGCATACTCTCGCCACGTGAGGCCGGGCATTGTCGTGCACCAGGAGGAACCCAGGACCCACTGCACCAGCATAGGGTCTGACAATGGGTCTGATGATTTCATCCCAATACCTAATGGCAGTTAGGGTGCCATTGTCTAGCCTGTAGAGGTCTGTGCATCCCTCCATGGATATGCCTCCCCAGGCCATCACTGACCCACCACCACAACGGTCATGCTCAACGATGGTATTGGCAGCATAATGTTCTTCACGGCTTCTCCAGACCCTTTCACGTCTGTCACATGTGCTCAGGGTGAACCTGTTCTAATCTGTGAAAAGCACAGGGCGCCAGTGGTGGACCTGCCAATTCTGTTGTTCAATGGCAAATTCCAATCGAGCTCTATGGTGCCAGGCAGTGAGCACAGGGGCCACTAGAGGATGTTGGGCCCTTAGGCCACCCTCATGAAGTCTGTTTTTGATTGGTCAGAGACATTCACACCAGGCGCCTGCTGGAGGTCATTTTGTAGGGCTCTGGCAGTGCTCATCCTGTTACTCCTTGCACAAAGGAGCAGATACCATTCCTGCTGATGAGTTAAGAACCTTCTATGGCCCTGCCCAGCTCTCCTAGAGTAACTGCCCGTCTACTGGAATCTCCTCCATGCTCTTAAGACTGTGCTGGGAGATACAGCAAACCTTCTGGCAATGGCACGTATTGCTGTGCCATCCTGCAGGAGTTGGACTGTCTGTGCAACATCTGTAGGGTCCAGGTAGTGCCTCATGCTACCAGTAGTGACATTGACCCTAGCCAAATGCAAAACTAGTGAAAAACAGTCAAAAAAGATGAGTAGGGAAATAAATGTCAGTGGCCTCTACCTGTAAAACCATTCCTGTTTTGGGGGTCGTCTCATTGTTGCCCATCTAGTGCACCTGTTGTTAATTTCATTAACTCAAAGCAGCTGAAACTGCTTAACAACCCCCTCTGCTACTTAACTGACCAGATTAATACCCCAGGAGTTTAATTGACTTGATGCTATACTCTGATTAAAAAGTGTTCCTTTAATTTTTTTGAGCAGTGTACTTAAGCCATTAGATCACCATGGCAACCAGGTTGCTTGCAACTGCGGAAGGAGAAGCTAGTAATATAACTTTTTTTTTAGTTCACCTAGAGTAGGGAAGGGTTAGAAACTCTGTCAGATTTTTATTACCTGGGTACCTACTGGGGAGACTCAATCTCTCAGTTTATCCTGGTGACCACTGTCACTGGAAATGATAGGGGGGAAATGAAAAATTTGGAGTTGTCACCCGAACAGTAATAAAGAAGGAAATTTAAGGACACTTGTGTCAACTATCTAAGAGGGTATTTCACTTACAGTTTTGAGTGGAATGAAAGTTGATAAAAAAAATGGACACAGGTGCAAAAAAAATTGACTTAGGATTTAACCATTCTTTACTCCATCCAAAATCTTAAAAAAAAAAGTTGTTGGCTTTAGATATACTTTAAATGACCACAACATTTGTGAATGCTGATGTCAGTAGAAGGCCAACACTCTCTGGCAGATATTGTAACACAAGATAAAACTAAATCCTCTATTACCACCACCCACGCCTTACAAGGGATACAATCTAACAATAGATGCTTCTTTACCTTTTTGTCCCGACTCTTGGATTTTGTGGAATGTCTATGGTGTTAGTTATTGAGTCGTGTTTTACAGCCAGCCCCAGATCTGCAATGGCGCACGTATCATTCTTCTTTACTAAAATATTCTTAGACTTGAGATCCCGATGTGCAATGGCTGGTTTGCCTAAACCAACAACAGGGAACAATTAGTAAAAATGAAACCATACTGTTTAAACTATGAAGCATCAACACTGCTGGCCACCAACCACAATAGGTATCAAATATTACAGTGACTGAGAGTTGGACTGCTAAGTAATTCAAATCCAATCAATTAAATTTTACCTGCAGATTTTAAAATGAAAGGAAGAAACTGTTTAAATGGTGTGAACAAGACACAGATTTTATCTAAAAGTCACATTGCTAAATTAAAGTGGTACTAAGGGCTAAATATTTTTTACCTTAATGCATTAGTGCAGTGTTTCTCAACTCCAGTCCTCATGGACCCCCAACAGGTCATGTTTTCAGGATTTCCCTCAGATGAAACAGCTGTGGTAATTACTAAGGCAGTGAAACTGATCAAATCACCTGTGCAAAATAATGGAAATCCTGAAAACATGACCTGTTGGGGGTCCATGAGGACTGGAATTGAGAAACACTGCATTAAGGCAAAAAAATGCCCCACTACCTGTCCTACCCCCATCCCCCTTGTCCCTAAACACTAAACACACCAGTGCTGTCTCTGGCTCCAGCACCACTCCCCTCATTTCCTGCTTTCACAGGAGAAAGCCACAGGCTCCTGCTGCAATCAGTCAAACTCTTGTGAGAAGGAGCAGGGACACGGCTTACCAGTGCTGTGTGTGTCTGTGGATGCACACATCTCAGCTTGGCACCTCCTCGGGACGTGAAGGAGGGAGGGAACTGCCAGAAGAGGAGTAAAGCACACTTTCTGTGCAATAGTTTTGCACAAAGCAGGAAAGTATACTCCCATTTTTATTTAAAAATAAATAAATGTGTCTACTCACACTCATCAACAGGTGTGACAAGCATTTGAAAGATCTGGTAATAATTTCTTCAGGCTAAGAAATATGTTACTAGAGTTTACAAATTGATTAAAAGACATACATCAAACCATTAGAAAGCAATACGTGGTAAAGTGAAACTCAGGGTCACTTTATTAAATACATAAAATTTTATTTTCTCATCTGCCTCCCCTCCTCTTAATAATTTTCTGCATAATTTAGTCTGAGGATAATCTATGTAGCTGACTGGTTGACCCACGAGAGCACATTTGTAACTTGGAATCCACACCATTTGTTTAGACATGCTTTGGGGGGGGTACATAACACTAAGCTTCAAAAAGGGCAGTAAATTGTTACTGACAGGTTTAAAAACTAATGTTTCCGCCATCCTTTCTCAATTGTTTAAGATGGAGGAATCCTTGAAATAACATTCAGGTGTCAGAGAACTGCTTCCAAAAATTAACATATCAACAGCTCACGATACATTACATGGTGGTCGATAAGTAAAATGTTTCCTACATTCGTGATCAATAGGAAAAATGCCCCTTACATCGGTGGTCAGAGGGGAGAATGCTCCTAATTGTCCTGCTGTCCAGCGTACATGCATGATGCCTGATGACTTCAGGTGCTTTCTGATTCCCCTGATGATGTTATTTATAATGAAACATGTAGGGTGGGGCACGTGGTTTTGAGATCATCAAGAATCATGCATGCGCTCTGGACACTGTATGCTTTTAACTGACTGCCCCTTTGCAAGTACATTTATTAATAAATGTGGGTCATCTTGCAATATTATGCTATATGTGGTGTAACATTGGGCCATGATACTAAATTGCAGAACCTTATTTGTCCACAAGATGGCGATGCCAATTAGACTAGAGCAGGTGGGACCATATAAAAGTAAAAGCCCAAGAAGGAGCCGGCCAGTTGGAGAAGTTTGCCAAATGGGAGAGAGAGAGCTGTGCTGTGTCATGTTATACTGTGCCAAGCCATGCTGTGTCAAGCTGTGCAGTACCAGAGAGAGAAAGTGGGTTTCTGTTCTTGATGCCGAAACTGGGAGTGGGGACACTTGCATCAAGAGCCGCTGTCCAAGTCACCTTCGCATCTGCTACTGTCTGCTCTATCGCTGTATAAAGGGGCCCCCTATGGTACAGAACACTCGATGACATTGGAGGGCTGTCTAGAGGAAGATCTGATGAGAGGGTGTGTACGGTGGCATTAAATTTACAACTGCCTGTTAATCCTTTCATTAATCCAGTCTGGTTAAACAGCCATTCTTCCCATTAACCCCTTTGCCTCAAGAGACCTATTCCACTGGCTGCTGCATTCCACCACTGAGCAGCACCCATCTAAGTCAACTCTAAAATTGAGGGCCACTAATATTCCAGAACACTAACTTTGTCCTGCCTTTCACCTGCTTCCTATTGCTCCTTAGCATCTCATATCCATATACTCCAAACTGCTCTTTGAACTAATATCACTCTCTGCATTGCTGCCTCATAGAGTCTACACCTTCACTGAGCCCAAGTCTCAAGTTTACACTAGACTGCTGTTCAGCGCCACTTTCTGTAACTTCTTCATTATCCTGCACGCCAGCGAGTTAAAAGGGCCCCAACATAGCAGCCAGATGTTCACCATAAAGACTTAACTGAGGCATTTTATTGAGGACAGAACGTGGTTGCCGTTATTGAGCTTTTTTTTTATTGTTTTATGAAATAAAAGTTACAAAACATAGCCTTGGGGCATTCCCCAGCTCAAAAAAAACCCCTAGACAACTACATTAACACCCATAGTCCAGCTCAACCCGAACAATCCTCAGTGTTGAGGGCAGTAGTATACTCAGTGGGATCAGAAACAGAAATTTGGAAACATGCAAGAAATAACATTAGAGAGATCAGGCACCTAATGAGTATATTGGATCATATCACAAAGAGTATCGAGAATAAGTTCCCCCGCTACTCCCCCCTCCAAGGGGATTGGGTGAACTAAAATTTAAAGCCTAAGACTAGCCCCTTCGTTTGAGAGCCCTCAAGTGACTTAGTCTGTTATATTATTCTATAATCTTCCTCTCATGCGGAGAGCCAGGATGAGGCCTCGCCTAGGGCTAAGAAGAGCATAGGACACAAGATTACTAGCAGCTCTTGCGGGGGTAGCACTACAGTGGTTTAATTTCTTTTGGAACATATGGCATACTAAATACAGAGGAGCATTTGAGTAGATATTCCTAGCTGTGGATAATCCATTGCCGGCCACTTGGATACCCATGAGCGTGGGATAGGCACGATTGACCTCCATATAATAACAGGTCTTGCTATATGATAAGAATTTCATTTTTTACGGTGGCGGTGAAGGATTAACCTCAGGCTGCAATGCAGTGCTGGAGGAATCTATGATTCACAGATACTTCACTTATATGTTTCTGGACTTTTAATATTTGAAATTGTTGCACAGTGGACTTTTGGAACTCTTTATCTTTATTTTTTTTTATTTTGCATCACTATGAGGATATCAGATCACAAAGTGATAGCTCTATGCATACAGTATATGTTTACTAATTATAAAACCTTTGCAAACCATAGAACAATGTCCTTGTTGCATGACATATCCTAAATGTAAAAAGTATCTTCCTGCTTTGGATCACCTAGATTTGAATTAGATGGAGCAATCTCTACTATACGCCAGAATGGCTGGCAAAAAAGAGCTCAGGCAAGATGTAAGTTTTGCTACTGGCCCTGCTCAATTTTTTCAAAATTGTTTGGCCAAATCCTCATATCTAGTTCTGCTGGTCCAGATTATTTTCCTTCCTAGGCCAAAACTGGCCTTCTGGTATCATATACACTGGAAACATTTCTCCTGAACATTATGGATGAATACATTCCTAAAACCTGCACTATAACTGTATTCATATACCTGTTTTTCTAAAACGTAATAATGAGGTTCTATCAAAATACAAGTTGATCTATATAAGTTGTGCATGCCCTGGGAAATTTGAAAAGACTTAGATCTAATGGCTAGAATGCAGGAATACGACTGACTCTCCGTTTTAGTCTGAGGGACATGCTGTAAGCACATACCCATGTCTGCTAAGGGATAAGAAATTCCGTAGCTCAGGAAATAATAGTGTGTTTCTTTAAATATGCTATTGTAACATTGCTCACTCTAGGGCCACTTGACACTTACCTATTTATAAAATGAATGTGTGAGAATGCATATGCTTTTTTCTCCATATTCAGTGAGTTTTTGTTGTTACAATTAAAAATTTTTACCAAACAACAAAAAAAAACAGCTGACTGCACATGGTAAGTATGAAATATTTATATGCAATATTTCACATTTACCTTAAAAAAAATAAATACATTTTGTAATCACTGAACATAGTGATTAAATATATGACCTAATTCTATACACTGACTTGATTTAATTACAGATTGCTTGCCATGTATCAATGTACCATGAACTGTACTATTTGTTCCTCAGTTATCTTTTTGCACAATCCCAGCTTCTGTTGGTTATTAGTTAAGACATATTAACTTCCAACACAAAACAAGAGAACATACCTCTAGTACCAACTATTTCCATGTGAAGGTGAGCCAGCCCACTGACAATGGATAACGCCATTTTCATTACTCCACCAATGGTTACTGTTGTCCGGTTAAGATAATCATACAAGGAGCCTTGTTCATGGTACTCCGATATCAGCCACAGCTGAGTCCATGTGCCATTATCTGTAGAAAATACAGAACAATCTCATATACAACATACTAATTACATATAAAAATAGCGATGGTAAAATAAGAACTAAATTCCATCATTTCCAATTTTTTATAGCACTGATATATTGCGCAACACTTTACAAAGTATATAAAAGAAGGGTAAGACGAGCGCTGGATGTGGTAGTAAAAGTGATAGAAGCCGCTGGCATAAAAGGCAAAGCCTCAAAAAGCCTCCTGATAAATAGCTAAAACATAAAATATGCAGCGCTAAACCAAATATAAAACAAAGGGACTTGATAATGTGCATTAGACACGAAACGCGTTAGGGAGGTGCCACCCCACGTAAAGACCTAGTCCACATGGTTCACACGTCTGACCGGCGGCCATTTTGGATCCCTTTTGGAATTTTACTATGTAAGTGTATTACTTGTTTTACTACACCTTTTGAATAAAATATACTACACTATTGGATACCTCTCTCTTGGGCTTGTTTACTCTGCGAGCCCCCAAGGTGATTCCTGACACTCGAGAGTGCACTACATCCCCTTGGTGGTTGATGACAGAAGGTGATTCCTGACATGAGTGATCCTGGAATATCCCTCTGGTGGCTGCCTACGGTACACCTGGAGACGACACAGAGCATCTGGAGGTTGCCGAATTGATGACCACCCTTCTAACAGTGTCCCTTATCCAATGACCAGGAGTAGGTCTGTTTACTCCAATGTGCTACCCTTTGCACTATCTGGTTAGTGCAATCAACAGTCACATTCCATACCACAGATGTCACGGATTTCCCATGTCACCTTGAAAAATCCACTGATATATTGACTTTGGCACCATTGTCACTATACGCACTATGCTTTGTTTTTATGATACCTTAGCATAAATTCAATCATTGGTTTCCGCACCAATCCCTTGATTGCTCATATGCATTTATTTGATATACACTTTACAAAGTATGTAGTACTATTCATATCAGACCTTCAGGAGGTAAAATCCATTGTTCCTATTTCACTTAAAGTAGAAGTTTAGTTAGAAACAAAATCTCTATAATTCAAACATATATGGCAATAAAGTAAATTATATGCTTTTGATTATCCAGGAAGTTTGTAACATACCATGTCATATACCGTATATATATGTTACCTTTATTGTCAGCTGCTATAAAGCCAAGAACATTTTCATGTCTTAACATAACCGTCTGGTAGACCTCTGCTTCCCGAAACCAGGATCTTTCATCTCGAGAGGAGAAGATTTTCACAGCGACGTCCTCTCCACACCACTTTCCTCTCCAAACTTCCCCAAAACGGCCTTTGCCAACTAACTCTTGGATGATAACTGTCCTTGCAATGGTCCTCTGGACAAGCAGAGGCAACCCTACAAAAGAAACAGGAAATGGTCATACAAAGGAGGTGCATGGACTAAAACATAGAAACGGTACAGTGGTATTTTGTGGTTCAGAAATGTTACAACCACGTTGAGGCACTAAGAGGAAGAACCCCACACCACAACTAGAAATACCTCTGAAATTAGACATTTTGGAGAATAATTCACATTTCTACAGCCCAATAAAGCTCAACTGTTTGAGCATGTTAATGTACGTTCGCCAAAAATCATGGTATATGTGCTTTGTAACGTGACCCATAATAAATGCTTAGTGGCCCCCGCTCAGGCTAATAAGGTCTGATGAATTGGATGCCACTGTCCAGTGAGGGTACTGGCTGGGGAAAGGTTTCTTAACCACTTGCCCTCCTGAGGATTTACCCCCCTTCCTGACCAGGCCATTTTTTGTGTTACGGCGCTGCGTTACTTTCACTGACAATTGCAATGCTGCATCCAAATGAAATTTACGTTCTTTTTTCCCCACAAATTGAGCTTTCTTTCGGTGGTATTTGATCACCTGTGCGTTTTTTTATTTTTTGCGCTATAAAAAAAAGACCAAAAATTTTGAGAAAAAAACTATATTTTTGACTTTTTGCTATTAAACATGCCCAGTAAAAAAAATTTAAAAAATAAAATTTCATCATAAATTTAGGCCAAAATGTATTCTGCTACATGTCTTTGCTAAACCCCCCCCCCCCCCCCCCCAATACGTGTAAATTAATTGGTTTGCATGAAAGTTATAGCGTTTACAAATGGCGGTATATATACTGGGATATTTTTTTTTTTTTTTACTAGTAATGGTGGCGATCAGCGACTTATAGCAGGACTGCGGCGGACATTCTGACACTGGGGGGAACTGACTTGGTGTCACTGACATCCCCAGTGACACCAATACAGTGATCAGTGCTAAAAAAAAAGCACTGACACTGTACTTATGGCACTGGGCAGGAAGGGGTTAACATGAGGGGCGATCACAGGGTTAACTGTGTGCTGTTTCACTATGTCCTGTGTCCATGTGCTTCACTGTAATCACACTGCTTTTCATGGCTGTGCTATGCACAGCCATCCAAAGCAGTGTGCACAAGCCAAAAAGGAGGAGAACTGTATTGTTTACATACAGTTCTCCTCCCCATCGGAGAACCTCTGCAATCACCGGGTGCCGGTGAGTAATCACTGGGCGGGAACCGGTGATTGACAGCTGCGCCTGCGAATGGCGGCACGGGTAGGGAGTGCGCGCACCCCCTACCCGGATATGTAAAATCACATATGCAGGGAGTGTTTTACTAGGGGGCAGTGTCTGTGTGCTTCACTGTAAGCACACTGCTTTGGATGGCTGTGCACAGCACAGCCATCCAAAGCAATGTGCCCGAGCTGACAGGGAGGAGAACTGTTAGTAAACAAAACAGTTCTCCTGCCTGTCGGTGGCGTGGTTAGGAAATGCAAAATCACGTATATATATATATATATATATATATATATATATATATATGTGATTTTGCGCACCCGTGCTGTCCTGTAGTAGTATTTCCGCTATAGTTCGGTTTGGAAGCAGTTAAAATGTACTTATCTTGGGTTGGCATTCAGAAGATTACCAAGCACACTGTAGCCTGAGTGGTTAGCAGGTAAAGGCAGCCTCAGCTAGATTCATCCAAGTCATGCCCCCAACATGTTTCGTCTCACCCCTGGGGCTTAATCAAGGAGGATGGTGGCAGGGTGAAACATGTTGGTGGCATGACTGATCTGAGGCTGCTTTTACCTGTTAACAACTTGGGCCAGGAGAGGTATGCGGCTATCTCTTCCTACGTCTACAGCTTGCTTTGTATCGTGTTGGTAATCTTCTGAACGCCAACCCAGAATAAATAAATTTTAAGAAACAGAGCAGCATTACAGCGCACACTACAGTACAATGCAAATATATGAATCTTTGCCTTTTGCTGTGCTACATTGCCTGTAAGAAATACAGGCCTATGTTTTCAATGTTAAGGTTCATTAAGGGCCCATATGGTACGTTATATGACTTGTTGTTGGGAGGACACACGGAAAGCTTGCCTTTCAGGCATAAAATAAATAAATACACCTCCTTGTTATACAATGTAACAAGTCTCAAAATCCCAACAGTAATTTATTTTTTGCTAGGATTTTTTTATAACAAAATTATTGGTAACACAATAATAAAATGTTTAATTTAAGTCACAGGATTACACTTACCAGAACCAGATCCTGATGTAGTCATATCATAGATGAGATCCTTCAAGCATTTCCCATCAGTATCCAAGTTACAGTCAGTGAGGGGCTCCTCAATACATTGGCGCCTTGTCTTTCTGTAGGTGCCGTACCGCCTCTGACAGGTGTAGACCGTGAGGATTATGGCTAATGACAGGACACAGATTGGAATGGTGACTATGACTGTCAGCTCCACATGGCCAAAGTGGGAGGTACTTGGAGATGCTGGAGGTTTGGAAATGAAGAGACACAAAAGGTACTTATTATCTATGGAAATATGATGGAGTAACCATTGTTTTGAAATCATTAAAGAGAACACATGAAAGTATCTAAATCTAAACACAAAAAAAAATATAATATATTGCAGCTGACCAGTTCTTTGGTATGATGGTTGCCTTAGTTTCCTTTTTTTTTCCAACCTTATTTCCCTCTATTTTCATGGTACAACAAAAAACACAATTCCTGTTACGTTGTGCCTACACTCAGTTCTGTATTGTACATGTGGAGGGAGCCCCTTATTGTTACACAGGCTGGACTTCAAACATGTCTGCCTTTGTCTATCTCCATTTCATGGTGGGTCAATGGGACTAGTAGTTTACACAAGAAAGATAAGGTCGTTTTAGTTGTCTTAAAAGCTCACGGGAAGTGCAAGAACACTGTTTTTCTAGCAAAGTCAACAGTAATTTTCTGTACTTGCTGAAATGTTCTTAGCCTGAAAAAAAAAAAAAATAAAGTAGACACCGCATTATTGGATGTCTGGTACCCTTCCATGTATGTTGGTTCCATCTGCCAGCCCCTCCATCAATACAGGACACAGTAGAAGGAGGTGAACGTCAAAACACTTTAATAGGACGTCCAGTTCCACGATGTTCAGGACTTGGACAGCCTTAAAAGGTGCCTTTTCACTCGTTCAGTTTATACAGAGCACGACGGGGGACATTCATGATCCATGGAACTCGACTGGGCAATTATTCAGCCACAAAGCTTCCTAGCTTTTCTTGCCAGTATTAGGATCCCTGGGTTCTCAAAAAATGAGTCACCTAGTGGTGTCAGCTTTATGGACCTGGGACAACCGTATGTGATAAGGTCAGCCCATAAATTCAGATTAAAGGTTTGTTTACACTTGAGGTTGGATGAGGAGGGATGACAAAAACAGGCAGTGGACCATTTTTATCTCCCCTTTTGCCTTCCTCTGGATCAACTGTGGGTGTAGGATTATAACTTTTTTAATGGTTGAACTGGATGGACTTTTGTCTTATTTCAGCCAGAATAACTATGTAACAAAGGCAGACAGACGATGGTGTATGCAATGCTTTGCTTCACAGCAATGGTGAATATTTTACCCCTGGTCATGTTCGGGGTTAAATTCAGGTGAATAGGACTGTGCCGCAACCAAGATAAGAAACAAAGAGGAAAAGGTGCTACTACCCGTCCACCTGATTGTTGTATGATCGGTGCCCGATCCACAGTTGCTCTGCTGCAGGCAATTCAGTAAGGAAACCGGTCCACACTACCACTGCTGCTCTAAAATCTTGATTAGAAAGACCACAGTACATGCATCACAGATACAGTGGGTCGACGCGTTTCAGCTTACACAGTTATGACCCTGCTATGTAAGCCAAAACACGTCAACCTTCTGTATCTGTGATGCATGTACTGTGGTCTCTATAATAAATCAAGATTGTAGAGCAGCAGCAGTAGTGTGGATCATTTCCCTTAGTGTGCTGCAACCACCCTGCAACTGTGTGTAATGCACGCAGTTGCAGAGCTGTGGTTTGGCATTTACAGGGTAAAACAGGCAGTGGGGAGGCCACAGATCTCTTTTTTCACCATCTATCAAAACACTTTTGAAAAGTGATCCACTTCAGATCACCTTTCAGAGGTGCATAAATGATGGCCCAACATATGAACTTAGCCTAAGGATATTTACAGATACTGTTAAATACTGACAGAGACACTCCTTGGAGCTGCATTTTGGATCATTTTAGTAGATCATAATTATGACCAAAGTACTTTAAAGTGATATTAAAGGCATTTTATGAAACAATAATAAACACATTATACCTACCTGCGCTATGTAATGGTTTTGCACAGCGCAGCCCTGATCTTCCTCTTCACAGGCACCCCGCTGGCACTCCTAGCCCCTCCTTCCTACTGAGTACCCCCAGAGCAAGCAGCTTGCTATGAGGGCACCCAATCAGGCTCCCTCCTGAGCCGCTGCTTTGCTTGTTCATGCACACACAAAACCGTGGCTCGGCCCAGCCCCCTTCTCTCTCCTCATTGGTTCACTGGCTGTAATTGACAGCAGTGGGAGCCAATGGCCAATGAGGAGGGAGAGTCCCCGGAGAGCTGAGGCTTTCGTGCACATTGCTGAATTACGATGGGGTTCAGGTAAGTATAAAGGGGGGGGGGGGGCTGAGGGGGCTGCTGCATAAAATGCACAAAGGTAAAAAACCTTGAGCCTTTACAACCACTTTAGGGGCTGATTGACACCAGTGCAGTTTTTTTTTTCAATTCTTCAAATAACAAGAAAGCAGTTTCAATTACATCCACATGGTAAAAATGATGAATGAGGTTCAGTCATTGATGCAAAATACAAATATAAACTTTTTATAGACAGAAATGCAAACCAAAGTAGAAAACAGGCGTCAATGACCTATATAGACCAGGTGAAGTAAAGAATTCTCTCTCATGTCCAGTGTGTTTTATTCTGCGTCAAAAACGCATTGACAGTGTTTTCCATGTATTCCAATGGCCCTAGTTCACACCAGTGCAGTCAACAAAAGAAGAACATATTGCATTTCTTCTGAACGCATCTAGAATGTTACAAAACGCATCAGATTTGCACCAGAATGCATGTCATCAATTGAGATGAACGCATCAAAAACGCACCATAAAGCCTTAAAAACGCATCAAAGAAGTGCATGCAGAAACTCATATGGAACGCAGATGTTGTGGTTGAAAGTTGACTAAAAGTTGACTTCTAAGAAAACAGACAAATCCACTATTGTATTTTGAGATCTGTTTTGCCTGCACAAGGACTTCTGTTTCTCTCTCCACCTAGTACTGAGATTTCAGACAGGACCCTGCCAGACAACACAGCCAGACTGGTGACCTGACCCTTCTCTGCTGCAACTAAGTAACATAGAGAGGCCACCTCTCCACCCCCAGAGTGTGATTGGACAGTGAGGGACCAGGTGAGACCATTTCATTCTTCTCTCCTCCTGCACACAAGCTCCTTGTTAGCACCTTGAATGCAGGACACCAGAGTTCTGCCCCACCGTCTCCTAGTCTGAGTGCTGCTGCACAGGGGATTACAAAGAGACTGATATGTATTTATTTATTTCAGGTACTTATATAGCACCATCAATTTTACACAGCGCTTTACATATATATTGTACATTCACATCAGTCCCTAACCCTCAAGGGGTGTACAATCTAAGGTCCCTAACTCACATCCATACATACACATACTAGGGACAATTTAGACAGGAGGCAATTAAACTACCAGCATGTCTTTGGAGTGTGGGTGGAAACCGGAGTACCCGGAGGAAACCCACGCAGGCACAGGGAGAACATGCAAACTCCAGGCAGGTAGTGCCATGGCTGGGATTCAAACCAACAACCCTAGTACTGCCAGGTGGACGTGCTAACCATTTAGCCACTGTGCTATCAAGTCAAATGCAGGTATTTATGTATACTAATTGCATGTACAATATGTACATACCACTTGCCCTCCAAGTGGAGGCGCTGCGTTACTGCGATATGGCGCTGCGTTACTTTAACTGACAACTGCACAGTCATGCAACGCTGTACATAAAAAGGAACATACATGAAATTTATGCTGTACATAAATAAAATTTATGTCCTTTTTTCCCAAAGATAGAGCTTTTCTTCGATAGTATTTTGATCACCTCTACGTTTTTTTATTTTTTTCGCTTTAAACAAAAAAAGGCTGACAATTTTGAAAAAAAAACAATATTTTTGACTTTTTGCTATAAAACATGTCCAATTAAAAAAATTTACCAAAGCAAATTTTGTCATAAATTTAGGCCAAAATGTATTCTGCTCCATGTCTTTGCTAAAAACAAAATCCCAATACATGTAAATTGTAATTGGTTTACGTGGAAGTTATAGCGTTTACAAATGGCGGTATATATACTGGAATTTTAATTTTTTTATACTAGTAATGGCCACGATCAGCGATTTATAGCGGGGCTAATGAAAAGCACTGACACTGTACAAATGACACTGGTCAGAAAGGGGTTAACATCTGGGGTGATCAAAGGGTTAACTGTGTGCTGTTTTACTAGGGAAACATGCTGCTGTGTATGTCTCTGCTGTGTATGTCTCTGCTGTGCAGAGACATACACAGCAGAATGTTACTGTTGGCAGAAGAGAGAGACCTGTGTTGTCCCCTGTCACTGTTTCTCGGCGATCGCCGTGTGCCGGCGGGGAATCTCCAGCCGGGACCTGGTAATCAACATCTGTAGCTGCCAATGGCGGGGTGGATAGGGTGGCAGGCGTGTGCCCCCTACCTGGAAATGCAAATCATGTATATTTACATTTTGCACAGCCCTGCCGCCCTGTAGCAGTATTTCTGCTATAGGGGTGGCAAGGAAGCAGTTAACATACATATATTTCATTCTGCACAGATACAGGATATTATTAAAAAAAATAATCAGTAACTGCATTCATTGGTGTTTTTAACGTCTGCCTAGAATTCAGCTTTCACCAAATGATCCGGACAAAAATAAAGTTGTTTTCCTTTTCCGATGACTCAGTGCCTCCGACTGGCAGGTAAATGAAGATGCTATTCCATATTGATTTACTAGTTTATGTTATTTATTAGGGATTCATTAGACGCTTTCCCTGTTGTGCTCGGAGCTATGCTGTCAGTCTTTAGTATAATGACGGTAATATGGCCAGCACGGTCTCCAGCCGGTGTATCTGTTAAGTACGGCAACGCAAACAAGCTCTTAGCAACCAATACAGATGTATCCTGTCTATGAAGTAGAGCATATCTGGGCAAAATAAATAAAAAAATGTATATATTCAATACATCCCTCCAATACATGCACATTTCTCCATGTTATATCTCCCTAAAATGCTGAAAATACAGAAAATACCTGGTGATCTCCCATAAATCCAGTGAGCTCCTAACTTCCTGTCTGAGCTGACAACTCGACTTCCACTGCACTGAAATCCTCCGATTAAATAAGTGTGTGTGTGGGGGGGGGGATTTCAGTGCAGCAGAAGTGCTGTGTTGTCAATTCAAGCAGGAAGCTCACTAGATTTCCAGCAGGA